TCCTTCCTAATCGACTCTCTTTTGCAGAGTGGGTGCTAATACATGGTCCCTACTTTACACTTCTATAACGCAAAAGCTACAGGCTTGCCACAAAGAGGGGTATAAACTGGTGAAGTGCAATGATTTCCCTCCTCGGAAACGGTAGTGTGGTTGCTCTAGGATCTGACTGGCCTGTAAGCCTGTCAAATACTTTTTCTTCGGCGTTACATGAATGGTTTGTCTCAAGGTGGTAGCAGTGAATCCACTTGGAGGAATCCACACAGCCGTGGAGAGAACACTTCAGGCTGGAGTCATCCCAAGGAAAGGATTTCTGCATGGGACGTAGTGGCAGGGTAAGAGATAACAGATGAGAAACTGAAATGCAGTTTTTGTTTTTGGATTCACAGGTACACATCCTCGGCTGTGTATGCAGCTGCATTAGAGGATTTGGTTGGGTCGCTGACGCCAGGAAAGTTTGCTAACTTTGTGGTATTGTCCGAGTCTCCTTTTGGACAGGGCACGGGCATTTTTCCTCCAGTGGTTGTGTTCGTTGGTGGAAATTTTGCCTTCCCTTCTTAAGGCGTTATTCCATAATTATTTGGTCTTTTAAATATAGCATATTTGCGAAAAGATTGGTGATCATTGTCCTAAGATTGCGAGGACACCAAACATTTTCAAAGAAAAGCAACAAAGGCATCGGAATCTCACTTTGTTAATGAAATAGATAAGGTATTTGGTGTAAATTTGTGAGAAACATAAATTAAATTTAAGCTAACTCAAAATCTGATGATTTCCAGAATGTAAAATCACAAATAGCAGAGTTTCTATTTAGAAAAAAAACAGACACTGAGATCACCTCCACACTGAAAGATGCTCAGCCAATACATAACTTCCCTAAACTAGCTACATTGAGGGAACTATCACTGAAGTACGTATGAATTGTATCTATTTCTGACTTTAAATTTCCATTTCAGAGCGGAGGCACATCTAAAAATGGCAGTTGCTGAAAACCCAAAAGAATGTACTTGATCTTCCTCTAATCCCTCTCAGATGATTTTGTATATTTTGAGCTGTATTTGTTATTATTACAGATTCAACAGCTGAACGGAATGATAAGTCTTATCAAGCGGTGGGCTATTCAATGAGCATGACAAATATTAAAATAAGATTGAGAAAAAGGAAAAACATCGTGTCTTACAGATATTAAAAAATAGATTGAGAAAAAAGTTTTAATCTATACTATGGTCCTCTCATCATTAATTAGAATGATGGTATAAAACAAATTTCAAATTGCCAGAAAATAAACTAAATAAATCCAAATAATACAGCTCATCCAGCCGAACCAGATAGCAGCCCCCATGGAAGAGGAAGTCCATGTACGTATGGATGAGCTCCACCTGTGTAACAGACCACACAACATAGTTCCTCTCCTCGGGTGAGTGTGAAGGGTTTGGATTTGGCACACCAGCTTCTGCTTTAAAGGCAAAACCCAGCAGCAAACTTTGTTGAAAGGGAACCAATTTCTTAGCTTTGAAAAAGTAGCACTGGCTTTTGCATCGTAATTTTTAAATATTACAGCTCTTCAACGATGGTTTGCAATAGTTCCCATTACTCTACTTGGTAGATAGAAATATTGCTCTGCTGAATTACAATCATTTGGAACCTGCATAAAAAAAAGGCTTACACTTGACTTTTGTGTTTCTGGATTACACAACATCAACTTCTAGCATACAAGACACGGAAACAAGCATTCTTTGTGCAGAAAAATCATCCAGCACAAGACGATTATCACAGTCATACACTAGCAACCATGAGGAAACCAGGAGGAAGAGCGATACAGTATGGAAGAAAATGCGAGATAACTGACACAGTTCAATCAGTGTACATGGATGAGAGCGGAAGAGGTGCAGCAGTACAAGGACTACCGTCCACAACAAGCCATACAGATAGCAACAGCAATTTTGTATGATTGTTTATGTCTGGTGCTGCTACAGGTCGAGCATTTGACACGGGGTACCAGGGTGGTGGAGTAGACATTCTTTATGATGCCCGACTGAATTTTCACGTACCATTTGTCTCTTCCAGCTTAACGGCTGGGGTAGGACGAGGGTGGTTCGAGAGTTACATCGGAATCAGGTGTGGATCTTTTACTTGTCGCTGGGTTCTAACACCTGTTATCTTCAGCCTTTAGATTTTTGAAAAGATTTCCTTAACCGTGCAAGACAGCCACCGGGAAATGGAGATTACGCAGGCCAACTCACATGCATGCCCTACTGTCTGGCTTATTGGATCGCATGCTTTGAGCAGCTGGTTGGAGCTGGTTGGATTCGTCTGATTTTCAGACGAAGAATCAGATGAAAAAAAAGAAAAGGAAAGTGTTTTTCCTGGGAGTTGTTTCCCTTCGCACACGCTTGCCCTATAAAAGCTTAAGAATGCATCAAGTTTCTACACTACAAATAAACGAAGATCAAACTGTTTCGCTTGTGGATCAAAATGGTGTTCAGTAGTTGCGTTCATAACCAGCAAGTGTAGATGGAATTCGAGTGTTGGAAGATGCATCAGACACAATTTTGTGCTTATCTGGACGCAATCCGTTTCCGTGGGCGTTGTAATCCTCTTTGGTCCTTAAAACCTTGGTAACAAAAGGGAAAGACCTAGAAAAACGCCTGTGACTAGACATGGATCATACTGTGTAGGTTCTCTGTGATTTCAGTCATGGAACTCCATCATCAGC